GACAACTGCGACACAGTTAAGGAGAACAGTGTAGGAGGACCGGCCATCGCAACTCTATTGATGTGATGTGCCATCAACCGCCGCCGCGAGCATACACTAGGGACTTTTGTGCAGAACACAACACTAGGGGCGAATCTCGTTGCTGCCGCTGCAACGTTCGACAAACAACAAGATGGGGAGGTAGAGCTCCGCCAATCCGGGTAGCCGCATGCAATGCTAAAATGGTGCAATGTGAGTTAATATATTTTATCGTATGATCAGAGAACCAAACTATGATTGGATGGTTAGGAGGACAGTGCTATGCGGAGGAATAAAATTCTAGGTTTGACGCTTTGCGGTCTAATAAAGGCAAAATATTCTTTCAGTGAGAGGCAATGTTCCCGTCAATTGTGAGGCGTCGGTGATGACTTCGTCAACTTTAAGACCAGCCATATGTACATGTTTGTGAGTGCCTGTGTTGTATTGTGTTTCTAAAAAGATCTTTTCGTCCGAGTAGAACTTGTTATCTTCGGTTAGTTAGTGATCTTGTTGTTAAAAATACAAAATCTAAACAATTTCATCAAATTTGTATGTGATATGACCGATCAGATGGCTAGCAGCGCGTTTCTATGCCTCGACGGCACCTGGTTGTAAGCCCAAGGCTCGCCCGTAGCTCTGGTAACTTCTTAAGTGCCTACTCCGGATGCTAGTATCCTGTAATTTGCAAATGAACACCGCTATGCACACGATGAATCCATGCACGATGCACACACGACAGGCTAAGTACACCGTTAGATTACCTCATTTTTTAAACCTGGATGGCTTGTAACCGCATCAGCCGCAAATCGTGCAGGAGCATGTCGTGTGTACAACACTTCCATTTGCAAATTTGTGTGTGTATCAGAGGAAACTCGTTGCTTTAATTATGTCGATGAACAAGATGTGCATTTTGAATGGATCAGAATGCACCTCCAAGCAAGACCCCATAATCAAGCACGAGGGTGGATTGGGTGGTCTTGGCTGTTTAAAGACGCGGAGAAGCTGTTGGCAAAAGGATAAGGATTCCTTGTATGAGTGGGCCAGCCGAGAGAAAGAGGGAGAGAGATATCGACGGGTATATTGTTGCTGCCATTGCTGAGAGGGCATGGCGAAGAGAGAGATTATGTCGTCTCCTCACGCTCTCTCTCTCACTCTCTCTAGAAACATAGAGACAAGCTAGCGTCACATTTCTCGAGCTACAAAGATTCCTCTCTTTGTTCCTTTCAAAAAAAAAAGATTCCTCTCTTTGTTGGCTGGAAGACGAGGGTGAACCACCACAAAGATTCCACTTCCTACCACATATGTGCAGGTACTCCGTTTGGTGCCAACACTAGTTCTTTTTTCAGATTGATTTAGCTAACGTTAAACAGGTCCAAAGTATATTGCGTATCAACTTGAATTTGCCGTGCAATGACCCTCTGGTTGAAGCAACGTGAAGTCACAGACGGTGCACTGATCGGCTCCGTGCTAGGTTTGCTTGCGGGGAGAAGTTTATCCGGGTTTTCTGTCATAGAGCTCATTTTGCTAGAGATTCATGCACCCTTTTTGCCCAAGCAGGCATGGTTTTGATTCAGATTGTTGCACCCCAATTGCTTCCATCTTTTTCTCCTCTATGATGAAACGTGCTTCTATTGACTCATAAGACATATGGAGTTATGTGAGCGCCCATACCATGTTTTTCAAAAAAAACATTAAAAAGGCAAAAAGAAAACATGATACGGCAATAGATTAAAAAAAAACAATGTTGAGTCTATCTGAACTTGAAGCCAGACAGGGAGATAAGCACAGTCGTGCATCCTCACCTAATTCCGGACTCCGCCAAAGAGATAAGCTGAGATAACGTAAATCCTATTATCATATGCAGAAAACATAATTTCTGCGTTGGACTTTTGGCGGCACGAAAGGGCAGACTAAGCAGAGTGAGTAAGAGACACGCACGCATGCACCGGCTTACTATTCCCTCGTTAACCCCAAGGGTGGGTGGGCATGAGCATGATTAGGTTTGGATCCTTGGAGATTCTGGTGGTGCCCCCACGTCCCTTTGGACGCAAGCATGGGACTTCCGATCAGATGCCCTGGATCTGGATTCCTTGCTTCGGTAGTACTATTACAGGTACAGCAGCTTATCTCGTCGATCGACAGCTTGTCGCGCCAACGAATCTTGAGAGGTTCCGTCGGTGCACCTGCACTACTGCATGCTCCATAGGGCAGTCATGTGGTACTACCGAGCATCATATCTAATGCAAGATTTGTGCACGAATCAATAGTGATGACAGGCTTAAATCCTAGACAGTGTCAATTGTTTTTTTTTTTTGTCTATGATAGTGGACATTGTTGGGGCGGCCGTTTTCAATTGTTTTAGCTCAATTCATGGCCACTATTACCGAGTTCAGGCCATTGTATGAGCGATCATTCTAAGTGTTTGTCCAATGGAGTTAGGCCTTCTTGATTGCGTTAAAAATACATCTCCTGCAGTTGACCAAGTTCCAAAAGGTTCGGCACCATGAGCCGCCCCGTCCGATTTGTCAATGTCAAAGGATCAGCACGTAGATCTCGTGTTAGTCAAATAATAATGACCTCGCATCCAATTCCAAACACGCTAAACCATACAGCAGCACAACGAAATACTACTTACATTATTGGTACACTTTTTTGGG